TGTTTGCAATTTTCATGAATACTGTCAAATTGCCTTCCACAGAGGCTGAAGCAATTTATACTTCCACCAGTAATGTAGGAAAGTGTGTCCTTCTCCCACACCCTCCCCACATTGGGTATAGTCAACATTTTTATTTATTTAGCCAACCTGATAGGTGAAAAATGGTCTTTTGGTATAAGTTTTAATTTTAACTTTTCTTATTATGTGTAGGGCTAAGCATCTTTTCATGCGTTTTGGAGTCTTTTTTTGCTTGTTGTTGTTCCCTTTTCTGTGAACTATTTTAAGAGACTTCCCTGAAGCTTCCATATGTGAAACAGTATTTCAGTATTTCAGCAAAACAGAAAGTAGGGGGCAGGAAAGAACTTAGTGGTTTCCAGGTTCTAGGCAGTGACTTTGCAGCTGAGAGATGGGGACTCACTCCTGGGTCCCTTCACCTGCCATCATCCTCCTGGCCCATGGTCTCCCCCCAGCCTTCCACAGGGTGGTCTGTCATCAGTGCCTGCGCCATAAAACTGGAGCAGGCTGCTGAGTGGGGCTTAGCTAGGAATGGCAGCTAAGGCCCAGGGCTGAGGACCAAAAAAATGCTAAGTACCCTATATTCTAAAGAAAGTTGCCAAGAATTGAGGTAAGACCCCCTTCCAGAGATTATGAAGAGGGAGTGAAACTGGCTCCAGTATCGGCAACTGTCAACACCTCCATATGAGAAGGAGAGAAGGAGGAGGAAGACAGCTACGGGGTGGCTGGCCTTCTGGGAGAGCATATCCATTGTGAGTGGCTATTTCTCCCAGCCCCTCTTCCCACAAGCCAAGAGGAGACTCCAAGAGGACAATTCACAGAGAATGTGGTGGGGGTGGCAGGGGGAGATGGCATTCCACTTACTTCCACTTACTGAGGGGATGTCAGTGTAGGCAGTGAAATATTTGGTCTTGCCCTGGCTTATCTAAGCAGGGAAGAAGAGAGATAGTGGTGTAGTTGGGGGCTGGGGGTTGGGGGAAAAAGTAAAGCAGCCTGCATTACTCCTGTGATGCCTAAGTTTCTTGAGGATTAAGTGAGCAGCTTGGAAGGGAGTTGGGCTTTGCTTCCTGACAGACTTTACAATCACCCTTGTTGTTGTTAGCTGCTGTCGAGTCAGCCCCCCCCACCCGACTCATGCGACCCTGTGCACAACAGAATGAAACACTGCCACCTATGCCATTCTCCATGATCAGTTGAGGATTGGTCCATTGTGATCCATTGGCTGATTTTTGGAAGTAGATCACCAGGCCTTTCTTCCTAGTCTGTCTTAGTCTGGAAGCTCTGCTGAAACCTGTTCAATATCGTAGCAACACTCAAGCCTCCACTGACAGATGGGTGGTGGCTGCGCATGGGGTGCGTTTGCTGTGAATCAAACCCAGGTCTCCTGGGGTCTTCTGTTTCTCTTCATGGAAGGCAAGAATTCTACCGCTGAACCACCAATACCTCACAACAACCCTTAGGCCTAAGCGAGAGGGACCCCTGCCCTGGGCCCTGTGTGTTAGGGGGCCACATTCTGGCCCTCCTCCAGTCTGGTGCTCTCCAGTTGCTGAGATACCCATGGAACCAAGGGAATGGGCCCACCTGGAACCTAGACCCCATCTTCCAGACCATACTCCAGGGAGACAGGACTCCAGAATTCACTGCCCAACTGTCTCTGAGTTCACTTCCAACACCTGTGTGGGCCTCTTCTCAGTATATTTCCTCCTGAGGACATGGCCATGCTGTTGACAATATATTCATCCCTAGGCCTTGGGTATGGTCAAGGAGCCACTGTTCAAGAAGATGGAGCTTGCTCTTTCAGGCTGAGGAGTCCACAGCAGTGTGTGAGTCTCTACGTGGTGCCTGTCAGAGCGTAGGCTACAGTTCTTCTTCCTCCATGTTCTGACACAGGAAGTTGAGGAGTCTGATCATTCTAAATTCAAATCTGGCCTTCAAGGTCATTATAAAGGCATGTAAGTAGAGTGCATTTTATTTAGATTGACTTATAACTTTTAAATCATTGGATATCTGGTATGTGGGCTTCCACTTGTGCCCTCACTCCAGTTCCATCAATATTAGGTGTACACCAGCAGCCAAGACCCCGTCCAAGGGGGCTGTACACTGAGCAGGGAGACTCCAGTGTCAAGAAGCTGTGGGGTGTACTCCTGGGGATGAGAGCTGAGGGAGTTGGAAGATGTTGAGCTGCATCTCCCACCTTAGAGAAGAGTACAGTGGGACAGGCCCACAGAGCCCTCAAAAGGAGGGCTCCAGGCATTACAACTCTGTTCAAGATGGGGTGAGGGGCTGGGAGAGGGCTGGGCTTGCATCAGGAAGAAAAACATTTTCCCAGAAGCTCCCCAACAGACTTTCCTTTTGGTCTGTTGGCCAGACTGGGTCACATGACCACAGTAGGGCAGCTGGGAAAGGAAGTATATTGAACAGGGGGAACAGAATCATCACTATTGTCTCTTAGACCATGGTTCTTAACCTGGCTATACATTATCATCACCTGGGCAGCTTTTCAAAAAATATCAGCGGTGGCTCCACCCCAGACCAACAAAATCAGAGTTTCTGGGGATGTGAACAGCATTCATATTTTAAAAGATTTCCACAGGTGATTCTGATGCACTTGAGGGTTGAGAATCACTAGGAAATCAGGATTTATTGTCTAGGGCCCAGCACTCTTCTGCCTTAAACTAAAACCAAGGTCTTTCAGCAAGAAAGAAAATGAAAGGGTAGTGCCTGTGTTGCCTGCTGCAGACAGTATGCTAGGTCACAGGTACTATGGCCTCTGTCCCCAGAGCAGGGCTGAGTAATGAAGCCTCCCTCCCCTCCAAGTGCTCCTTTCCACTTTTTGGAATACAATTTTGAAAGATAGGAAGTGGAGGTATTGGAGAAAGATATTCCAGGCTGAGGAAATAGTAGAGCAAAGAGCAGGGGAAGAGATTTTGGGTGTGAAAAGCCTCTAAACATTGAAGAACCCAGGCCTCGGTCCTTGGATTTCTTCTTCTAACTGTGCTGACTCCCTCTGGAGTCCCATTCATTTTCATGGACTTAATACTAGTTCCATTTTTATGACTCCCAAATTTATATATTCAGCTCTGGTTTTGCCTGAACTCTAGACTCATATATTTAACAGCCCACTGGAGACTGCAAGTAGGATGTAAAATAGGCATTTCAAAACTAACCTGTTCAAAATCAAGTTCCAAAATTCACTACCTACCTCCCAACTTGATCCTTCCCAAGTCTTCCTTATCTTAGAAAACAGAAACTGCATTTCTGCAGTTGCTCAGGCCCAAAACCTTAGAATCATCCTTGAGCCCCTCTTTCCCTCACACCATACATCTAATCCACCAGCAAAATTTGCCAGCTCTACTTTCAAAATACATCTCAAAACCCACCACGCTCACCACCTCTGTGGACTACCAGCATGGTCCAAATCATCATCATCTCTGCCTAGACAATCACAATAACCTCCTTCTAATTTATACAAGTCCCTGTTTCCTTCCTTGCAGTCTTACAATGTGTTCGCCCAGAGTATCCTCTTAATGTGTAAGTCAGATCTTATCACGTCTCTCCTCAAAAGACGCTAAGTCTTCCATCTTATCCAGAGTTAAAAACCAAATTCTTAAGATGGCCTATAAGACCCTACGTAATTGGTCCCCTGGTTACTTCTCTGTCCTTGGCTCTTACCCTTCTGCCCAACAATCACTCTACTTCTGATACATTCCTTACTGTTTCTTGACCAGCTGGCATGCTTTCTAGTCAAGATCTTTGCACTTACTGATTTCTCAGTCTCTTGTACATTTCCCTAGATATCCACAAGGCTCCCCTTACTTCTCCTTTCTGAGGCCCTTATAAGTGAAGAGAGAGGCAGAATCAGAAAAGGAGATGTGACTATGAAAGCAGAGGTTGGAGAAATGGAATTGTTGGCTTTGAAAATGGAAGGGGATCTCAAGTCAAGGAATGCAGTGTCTCCCCTAGAGAAGTTAGAAATGGTTTTTCCCCGTGAGTCTCCAGAAGGAATTCAGCTCTGCCAACACCTTGATTTTAGTCCAGTGAGACACATTTCAGAATGCTGCCCCACAGCACTATAAAACAATAAACTTTTTTTTTTAAGCCTCGAAGTTTGTGGCAATTTGTTACAGCAGCTAGAAACTAATAGTTGGTAGTTGTGACATGGTTTTCCTATTTTAGAAATATAACTCCATCACATTTCCACAACCAAAACCTCTAAATATCTGCATCTATACCCTACTCCCTATTACAATGAACCAATAGTCCTTTCCCTATCAAAAGTCAATGTTAACTGTTGATTCTGCAAAGGATCACCAGATCAACCTGGTTATCAAGTTAAGCTTAGTTTCTTAGACCTACTGCAATGAGGGAGAATACTGCCTTGCTAGAATCTTAGTAGTGTCTCAAAATAGGGAAATTAGGGCAGGATTTTTATAAGGGGTTAGGGCCATTGCTGGGTGATTGTAAGGTGAGTCTTGCCAGGTAGAGAGCTAGCTAGGATTTGACAGAGTTTGTGATAGTTTTGGATTGGTGGGGACACTGAAGTAAAAGTTTTGAGAAGGGTCTTATTGAACAAGTTATTCTGATTAGTTCACAATATTATCCTCCAGGAGCAGGTATTTACTGCAGTACTAGCTAAGTTATTTTTGCTTGATCTCGGTATTGTTTAACACAGGGACAGGGAACTATACCCAGCCCCACTATAGTTAAATATGTTATTGTTGTTGTTAGCTGCTATCAAGTAGGCCTTCAACTCATGGTGACCCCATGCACAACAGAACAAAATGCTGCCAGTCCCACACCATCCCTATGATCAGTTGCAGATCGGATTGTTGTAATCCCTACGGTTTTCATTGGCTGAGTTTTGGAAGTAGATCACCAGGCCTTTCTTACTAGTCCATCTTAGTCTGGAGGCTCCGCTGAAACCTGGTCAGCATCATAACAACACATAACCACCACAAACAGAAGAATGGTGGCTATGCATGAGGTGCATTGGCTGGGAATTGAACCCAGGTCTCCCACATGGGAGACGAGAATTCTACCACTGAACCACCAATGTCCCCCTACTGTTAAGTATAGGAACAGGAAATTATGTTGGTATCTACTCTCACCAAAAAACTTTACTATATCCAAAGGACTAATGGACCACAACTACCACAGTCTCTACCAGACTGAGTCCAGCACAACTAAATGGTGCCCGGCTACCACCACCAACTGCTGGGACAGGGATCACAATAAAGGGTCCTGGACAGAGCTGGAGAAAAATGTAGAGCAAAATTATAACTCACAAAAAGAGACCAGACTTACTGGCCTGACAGAGACTGGAGAAACTCCAGGAGTATGGCCCCCAGACACCCTCTTAACTCAGTACTTGTCACTCCTGAGATTTACCCTTCAGCCAAAGATTAGACAGGCCTATAAAACAAAATGAGACTAAATGAACATACCAGCCCGGGGGCAAGGACAAGATGGCAGGAGGGGACAGGAAAGCTGGTAATGGGGAACCCAAGGTAGAGAATGGAAGAGTGTTGAGATGTTGTGGGGTTGGCAACACATGTCCCAAAAGACAATATGTGTATTAATTGTTTAATGAGAAACTAATTTGCTCTGTAAACCTCATCTAAAGGACAATTAAAAGAAAAAAACTTCACTATACTCTGGGTTCCATTCACTCTCTTTAGTTAAGTGCTTTAGTCCTGCAACTTTGCCTTTCTCCTTAACATAGTCAATTCTCACTGTCTAGTGGATCATTCTCGTCTTGAAAAAAAAAAAAAGAAATAAAATAAAAATCTCCTCACAGGCGCCTTTGGCATCTGCCCTGTTTCTGTTTCCCTTTATATGTATATAAAAAAACTTCTTGAGAGAGTTGTGTGTGATTATCACGTTCACCTCCTCACCTTCCGCTTCAGCCCAGCTCTCCTTCTCTGGCCTATGACACTCCCACACATTAGCCTTCTTAAGGTCCCTGGAACACTCCAAATGTGTTTTTACCTCAGGGCTTTTGCACTGTCTGTACCCATTGCCTCTACTGCTTCCCCATCTTAACATGGTTGGCTTCTTCTTGTCATTTGTCATTCAGAGCTCAGCTTAAATGTCACCTCCTCAGAGATACTGTCTGTGACCATCAATCTAGGAACTATTTGTGCAGGCTCTATTATGTCACTCTATTCTTATTTTCTGAACAGCCCTGTAACTGTCTGAGATTTTACATCTAAGATGCCTGGCATGCAATATCAACAACAAATATAATGACCAACATTTATCAAGCCCTTATTATGTGCCAGGCACTGTTTTATAACAAAATAATAATCCTATAAAAGAGGTATTATTATTATTATCTTGATATTACAGATAGGCACAGAGAATGTAAGCAACTTGCCTAAGGTCGCCCAGTAAGTGTCATTGTAATTGCTCAGAAATACTTTTTTGAGAAGAGCAAAGGATTGAATGGTGGGGAAGGAAGAGTTTAGGAAAATGAGTTAGTAGGCTATTGTAAAAGTCCTGGCACAAGATATTAAACCTTGACTCTGGTAGTAGCAGTGGTGTTAAAGAAGGAGTGGGAGGATCCAAGCCGCTATGGAAGTAGAATCATTGACGAGACTTCATGACGTAAACCTGGATTCAGGATTGTCTCTGTAGTGTGCAAGAGAATTAGACTGCCTAAGCTGGACAGACTGGAGGAGAAACTGCACTTGGGAGGTGAAGTAAAAAAAAAAAACCTCAAAACGCTCTTGATTACACCATACTTTTGGTACTTGGTTATTTTCAACTTAGCACATTATTGTATTCTGTCTTCGTGAAGTTTCCTGTTTGGTGTAGAGCAAGATAATGTACTGAGCTTTTACTTTGTCTTTTATTGTCCTGATTTTCTTCTCCAGTTCCAAGGAGGTAATGTGGCATTGGATTCCATTGCTTCGAGGCCATTTGCATGAAGTCAGAAAAAGAAAGCAGACAGAGGGAAGTCTAAATTCCTTGATAGATTGATGCTAGGCTGGGGGAGAGTGAGAGTGCTAGTGTCTGAAGGAATAAGGCTGAAATGTAGAGGATAGAAAGGAGGGAAGAATTCTCTATCACTTGGTGGGAGGGCTAGGGGTTCTTAAGCAGGTGGGCCTCCCCCATGGGGCAACCTGGGGAGATGGTGAGACAGTAGAGAGGAGTGGCCATCTGATTCACCCAAGACACCAGGGTTCCCAACCCTGCAATGCTTCCTAAGGATAAGCGTTGCCTGAGAGCTGTGGAGCTACTACACAGGACCCCCTGGGCTGGGACAATGAGGATCTCAGTTGAGGAGACCCCCTGAATGTTCCGCTCCAGGAAAGCTCCCTGGGCGTTTGCCCAACTCTGGATTGAGACTGAATTTCCTGCTAGCCCAGCAGGATACAGATTTGGAGTTAGATTTAATTTGATTGAAGGGAATTAAAATAATGTACCATTTCTTGCATACTTAGTTTGCAAAGCAAAATCTACACCTGCTTTGTGTGTGCTAGTTGGCTTCCTAAAATAGATGAGAAGCTCTCTGAATGCAGAGTTCACTTTTTATCATTCATTTGATCAACAAATATTTATTAAGCACCTACTATATGCCAGGCAGTGCTCTAGATACTACCCATTGCCACTGAGTTGATTCTGATGCGTAGCAACCCTATAGGACAGAGTACAACTGCCCCGTAGGATTTCCCAGGCTATAGGCACCCTGGTGACGCGCAGAGGTTAAAGTGATCTCCACAGAGATTTACAGCCTCAGAAACCTGAGGGGTCACTGTGACTCACTTGCTGCAATGGGTTTTTTGGGTTTAATCTTTAAGGAAGCAGACTGCCACATCTTTCTCTCAAGCAGTGGCTGGTGGGTTTGATCCTCCAACCTTAAGGTTAAGAGCTGAGCTCTTAACCACTGTGTCACCAGGGCACCTTCTCTAGATACTAGATATATGGTAACAGATAAGACACGGCCCTGTCACCTTGGACTTCCAGCCTGGTGAGGGAGACAGAAAACAAACAAACATATCATTACCAATTGGGATGAGTGCTAGCATCAGAGCACTAACTCAAGAGCTAAGCCCACGTTGTCATAGGGAGAGGAGCTCGATGCAATACCACAACCTGCCTCAGCTCCTCTACTGGAGTGGTACCTCAACCATACCTGGGGGCCCTGGGTCTGAGACTGCTTTCTGGAATGGCCAGACCTGCCAGTTCTTTTCAATTTGGACTTTTTTAACACTTCAAACTCCATGTTGAAGTTGTCAGTCACGTTGTTTGTTACCATCTCAGAGGCAGTAACTAACCTTGTTGTTGTTGTTGTTAGGTGCTATCGACTGAGTTTCGACTCATAGTGACCCTACAGGACAGAGCAGAACTGCCCCAGAGGGTTTCCAATGAGCGGCTGGTGGATTTGAACTGCCGACCTTTTGGTTAGCAGCCGAGATCTTAACCACTATGCCACCAGGGCTCCTAAGACCTACTAACTCTGACTCATCCTACAGGTCTCAACATAAAGATAAATTGCAAAAGCGTGAGGTGGTTAAGATCTTGGTGTGTTGCAGGGCTAAAAGTTGACTGATGTGGCCGGAGTGGGAGGTGAACACAGGAAATGTGATACAAGTAGAGGTACGCGGGTGGTCAGGGGCAAGAAGTGTGGGGCCATGGTAAGAAGTTTGGCTTTTCTTCTAAGTGCGACAGGGAGCCATGTAAACATTCTAACAGAAAAATGTTAGTCTAATTTTAATTTTAAAATGTGTCCCATATTGTTGTTATTGTTAGGTATTCTCAAGTCCATTTTTGACTCAGTGCAACCCCATCTGACAGAGTTGAATGCCCTGCAGAGTTTTCTAGGCTGTAATCTTTATGGAAGCAGATTGCCAGGTCTTTCTCCCATGGAGTGACTGGGTGGGTTCGAATCACTGACATTTTGGTTAGCAGCTGAGTGCTTAACTGTTGGGCCACCGTGCTCCTGACATATTCCATAGTGTCGGGTATTTTGGGAGACAACTGTTTAGCCAGCTGTTGGATAGATACTTGTTGATTGTATTAAATTAGGTGGGGTTGGTGGGTGGAGGGAGAGAATCTGTTTGTAGAGATGCCTTCTTTATGACTAACAGAGACTGGCAAGTTAAAAATCTAAAATTTCAGGGTTTAAGCTCTTTAAAGGTTTCAACCACTTTAAACTGGAGCAGCCATGTGACAGTCAAATCCTGGAAAAGACAATAAGTTGTCCTAATTTCCTCTTGCTCAGATTTTCCCTTTTCCAGTGTGACAAAACTGCTGGGGACATTTTTTTTTTTTTTTAAGCCCCTGTGTTTCCCTATTTAGATTGGTGTGTCAGAGGTTCCAGGCAGATGATGAGTAGATCAAAGTGTTAAGTGAAGTTTACAATTTTAGGGGACAGCTAAGTTAGGGTGAGGGGCAGGGAGGAAAGCTGCCCACATGTGGAAAGAGATCTCTGGGCAAAGGAAAGGACTCCCAAAAAGATGATCATGGAAGTTGTCTCAAGCAGAAGCAAATGAATGAGGCCTGAGTTCCTTACTAAGCCCAATGGAAACATGGGTGATGTCATTGTGATTGTGGACTCAGGGGCCTGGAGAGCAAGAGGCTGACATCACCACCCAGGGGACTGAGTGAGCTCAGACTCCAGGGAGGCAGCAGACCTCTTTCACAGCCTCCAAGGATGCTGGAGCAGCAGACATGGCCAAGAGGGCCCTGGGAGGCTGAGCTGCTTTCATCAGCTGTTCAACTATTGTTCTTTTCTTTCACCCACCTCCACCCTGCCCTCTGCCAGCATAGAACCCTATCTCACCACAGAAGGAAGGAGCACTGATGCTCTGCACCCAGGAAACTTTAGGCCTTATGGGGAGACATGTTTCTTCCTTTTTAAAAACAAAACCTTTATTTTATTTTTTTGTTGTTGTTGAAAATATACACAGCAGAACATACGCCAGTTCAGCCATTTCTACATGTACAATTCAGTGACACTGACTATATTCTTCAAGTTGTGCAACCATTCTCACCCTCCTTTTCTAAATTGTTCTTCCTCCACTAACATAAACTCACTATCCCCTAAGCTTC